TTTGTGAACTGGTTTGGCAACTTTAACGAGCGGTCTGTATGCAGGCATTAGAATGACAGTGATGTGGTCTGAGGTGCCAAGATGGGGGAGGGGGAGGGCCTTGTAAGCTCCTCTCTGGGTGATGTAAACCAAGTCTAGAGTGTTGTTTCCCCGTGTTGGAAAGTCTGTGTTGGTGTATCTTTGGGAACACACTCTTTAGGTCTGCATGATTGAAATAACCAGCCAAGATGAGAAAAGCATCTGGGTGGGCTGTCTGCTGCTCACTGATGTGCTGGTACAGTTCATTCAGTGCCTCACTCCTGTTGTTGTTGTTGGAGCTGGGAGGGATGTATACAGCAATGAGCAGTATGGCTGTATATTCCCTCGGTAGATAGAACGGCCAGCACTTAGTAATCATAAACTCCACCAGGGGTGAGCAGTGTTTGCAGACCACAACAGCATCGCGGCACCACGCATCATTGATGTAAACACAAAGCCTGCTGCCGCGGGTCTTACCTCCCTCTACACGAGCTCTGTCCGCTCGATAGCATGTTAGCTGGTCAAGCTGAATAGCGCAGTCCGGAATGCTGTTGCTGAGCCATGTTTCCGTGAACACAAAAACACAACAGTCTCTTACAGTCCTCCGAGTTGAGCGTAGTAGTCGGATGAAGTCCAGTTTATTATCCAAAGAGTGTACGTTAGCCAGTACGATGGTGGGGATAACTGGCTTGTGTGGGTTAGCCACTAGCCTAGCCCGGATACCTCCGTACTTACCCCTCTTTTGCTTCCTCTCACGCCGCTTGTGGCGCCTCCGCTGTGTGTGAGGTGCAACAGTGGGGGTCGGTGATGGTGTAGGCCTCCGGAGCAGACCGAGGTCCCGCAGCTCTTCGGCATGTGCGAAGTTTAGCTCTAAAAATGTGGTTCTACCGACATCGAGGAGAAACTCATGACTGTATGCGCGCTTAGAGACAGATAGATGCGACGAATACGTACAAAAACACTGTGACTCACAAGATAAAAAACATGAAAACACCGTTCTGTTGGGAGAGAGAGAAGCCGCAGCGTGTGCACGCGCCGCCATCTTCTGGCGCAAGATTTATCAAAGTGAGCTTGTTTATGGAAATTGGCCACATAAGCCGTGGCAACAAACCAAATTGGAAGCACCACAGCTTCAACTTCCCCTGAAAGAGCTGTACCATTGATTCTCTTGAGTCCACTGACTGTCTCTTGCCTGAGTTGTTCCACCTGTTTTGAGTCTTTAATGTCTGTGGTGTACCAACGTCCAAGGCTTTTGATGGGCTTTTCCATGACCATTGGTATGGGCTCTCCCGCTATACAGAACCTGTCATTAGTAAGTCGGCCTTTGACAATGGAGATGTTGCGAGATTTTCCGGGTTTAATCTCTATTTGTGCCCATCTGATGTTTTCCTGAAGCTTATCCAGCAGCCGCTTAGTACATGCTTTAGTCATTGTGATGGTAGTCATATCATCCATGTATGCCCTGATTGGAGGGAGCCGCAACCCATTTTTCAATCGTTCCCCTCCAACCACCTAACGGGATGCCCGAATTATGATCTCCATTGCCATAGTGAATGCCAGTGGAGAGAAGGTACAACCTGCCATTATGCCAACCTCCAGTTGCTGCCAGGTGGTGGTACTATCCTGTATGGTAATACAGACCTGAAGATCCCGAAAGTAGGCTTTAATCAATTTTGTTATATGTTCTGTAACATGGAAGAGATCGAATGCTGCCCACAGCAGCTTATGTGGCACTGTTCCAAAGGCATCTTTTGTAACATTTGAAATGTCTTCACTCACTTTCCATCACTTTAATGTATGATGAATAAAATTATTAATTTCTCTCTCTTTTTTAAATCTTAGCACTGATGTTTGAGTGGTATCATTGTTTCCACAAAAACGTTAAGCAGCAAAAAATGTTTGTAACATTGATAATAATAAATAGTAAATGTTTCTTGAGCAGCAAATCAGCATATTAGAATGATTTCTGAAAGATCATGTGACACTGAAACTTCTCTTTGTAAAGAACAACAGATTTATAAATGATTCTAATGACGAATGTTGCATTCCCAAATACAAATTAAAGTGACTCTAACACAGCAGTGAATTGAAACTGAAAACACAGTACTGTTAACAGCAGACATGTAGCGCGTCAGACTATAGCCTATATTTATATTATTACATCACAACCGTTGTGAATTTTATGATAGTACTAAGCAATCTCAAATCTCACCACCATTCATAAAGTTACCGGGCAAGTAACATGTTTCAGTGCTGATTCTACTCTCATTTGGCACTTTGAACCATTTGAATCCTTTTACTGTCCTGCAGGTGGTGCCGCGAGCTCGTACAGAGCTCTCTGGACCATTCCGTCCATGATGTATTGGAAAATATAACTTTTCGCAGTTTATTTAGTTCATTGCTAAGACCATTTTGCGATTTCAATCATGCAGCTACCAACATTATCCTGATGACCCCCACCCCGATTATTTTTTTTATTACTGATCTGCATGATTTATGTGGGTCATGATTTTAGGCCGGAATTCCAGATTAATCTGTAAGAATCACATCCCTGATATAAATAAAGATTTTCAACTTGAATATTTTATTCATCAACATCCAGTGTGTGATTTAAGTGTTCCCTTAATTTTTTGAGCAGTATATTAAATAGCAACATATACTTACTTTAGCGTTAGGATTAGGTTAGTTGCATGTAATTATACATAATTTACTGTTATTACTAATGCTAGTACATGTAGAACAAATATACCATAAAATAAAGTGTTACCATTTTTGTCATGGAAATTTTTTTTCTATGCAATTAAAACAAATGGACTTTCATTGAATGTATACACTGAGACATTTTTCCTGTCCTCTATTGTGAAGAAATGCATACAGGTTTGGAATGAGGGGATAAACCCTTTAATGATTGTAAATTATATAGCCATGTCATCTTAACATCTGCAGTCACTTGGTTTCTTTAGGTATTCTTTGCCTCTGTGCGCTCTGGAGGGGTGAGCCAAGTTTATTTCATGACTCTTGGACGGAGCAACCTACTCAACTGGTGATGAGGATGCTTACCTTTAATGAAAGTACCAACAGACTGTCTCTCTGAACCCTTTGGACCCAGCATGACAAACATTAACATTAAATTGAATTTCGATTCAAGGGTACTTGTACCATACTTTTGCTGTCCTAGACACTGGCACCGTTGTGGGGAAAACTCAATCTTGAGTACGTAAACATAAAAGACATTCTGAAAGGGAGTAGGAGCTTATGTGGAAGAGTGTTATGCCATCTGTTACATCCACAGCTCTACTATTGGTGATCTGCTGTGTATCAGTTTTTATTGTATTATTTTTTTTTGTGTGTTTGAATCCCACACCTTTGAACATTTATTATTATTCAGGGCTTTGTTTGTTCAGTCTTTGTTATATCAAGGAATTCAAGGGCTGATAATTAATACTCATGTAAGTCTATGTAAGTGTATTTCCATGGACTGACCATCTGTGATGATATCTCTTCTGTTGTCATTTTTTTTTCTTTCTGTGAAATTGTCAATTCCCCAAAGACCTGGGTCACACAGTATCATTGTGCCAGTTAATATAGGGATGCAGTTTCTATTTCTTTATTTTTTTTCTTTTATAATATCAACTATACAGTTCATGAGTATCTTTATTTTATAGGTATTGCACGCGATAAATACATTCCAAAGTATATTCCCATTGATTTGCAGAATGGATTGTTTGAGTAAAGGAATATTTACAGACACTTAAATGTTAAACTTGTATTCTGTTACTCTGTTAACCACTTTATGAGTGAACAATTAATTTGATTATTTATCCACTAACTTTTTTCTGAAATTAATCACGATTAATCGTCTAAAGCGTCTAAATAAATGCAATTCTTGTCTAAGGTGTGCCAAACCAATCTGTGATGCTTCTTGCAGACTTTTTGAAATTACAGTTCCCTAAGCTTGACTATATAGTTCCTATGACATTTAAAAATTTGCATTTGTATTTTTAACAGTTACTGTCAGATACAAAATTTGAACTAATAGCTGCTGGACAAACAGGAATTTGAACTTTATACCCCTGTCAAAGCTATAACTGCTCTCCATCTGATCACATTTTATCTTTTCATTCTGTATCATATTGGGTTGTTTGTTTCAATAAGGTATTGCATTGCTTATATTAGAATGTATTTGCAAATTACCATGCATCTTTGCAGAGGCGGTTCTAGCTTGTATGGCGCCCTGGGTACTCCCTAGGAGTACTTCCTTCTGCCACTCCTAAATGAAATTCATTTTTCATAAATTGTGCTATTTTATTTAAATTTATATATTTAAGTTATTACAAACAAATAAAAAAAAAATCATCCAGCTCAGTTCAGTTTAAATCGTATCTGTGCAATCAAGTCGACGATATCGCTGGAAATTAAGTGTCCCCAACTAAGCAAGCCAGAGGCGACAGCGGGAAAGCACCAAAACGTTTACAGAATGGAGAAAACCTTGGGAGAAACCAGGCTTAGACGAAACCAGCAGTTCAAATCCAGGCTGCAGCAAAGTCACATTGAGCAGAGGACTCAACTGGTTCCTGTGGTCTTGTCCCGGTGGCCGTCTAGGAGACCAGGTCTCCACTGGTCTCCGCTGACATTCATGGCTGTTGAGGTCATCTCTAGGTCCTGATCCACCATCTGGGCTGGATATGTACTGGATCCGGGTGACTGCAGTGGCCATCTGATCTGGATACAGACTAGATCTGGTGGCTACGGCGACCTCAGCATAAGAAAGAAACAGACTAATATTAGCGTAGATGCCATTCTTCTAACGATGTAGCAAGTACATTGGGTGTTATGGGAAGTGTTCCCGGTTCCGGTTGTCCTAATTAATGCAGCCTAACAATCCTTTAACGGATTTGAATATTAGAAATATGTTTGTGTATTATGTGTAAGCCAGGTTAAAGAGATGGGTCTTTAATCTAGATTTAAGCTGACAGAGTGTGTCTGCCTCCCGAACAATGTTAGGTAGATTATTTCAGAATTTGGCCGCTAAATAGGAAAAGGATCTGCCGCCCGCAGTTGATTTTGGTATTCTAGTATTATCAAATTGTCAAGTTTTGAGAACGCAGAGGACTTGGAGGACTATAATGCAATAAGAGCGCATTCAAATACTGAGCTGCTAAACCATTCAGGGCTTTATAAGTAATAAGCAAGATTTTAAAATCTATACAATGTTTAATAGGGAGGCAGTGCAGTGTTGACAGAACCGGGCTAATATGGTCATACTTCCTGGTTCTAGTAAGAACTCTAGCTGCTGCATTTTTGACCAGCTGGAGTTTGTTTGTTAAGCATGCAGAACAACCATCCAATAAAGCATTACAATAATCTAACCTTGAGGTCATGAATTAACATTTCTGCATTTGACATTGAGAGCATAGGTCATATAGATATATTTTTGAGATGGAAAAATGCAGTTTTACAAATGCTAGAAACGTGGCTTTCAAGGGAAAGGTTGCTATCAAATAGCACACCTAGGCTCCTAACTGATGACTAAGAATTGAGAGAGCAGCCATCAAGTGTTAGACAGTGTTCTAGGTTATTACATGTGGAGTTTTTAGGTCCTATAATTAACACCTCTGTTTTTTGAGAATTTAGTAGTAAGAAATTACTCGTCATCCAGTTTTTTTATATCGACTATGCAATCCATTAGTTTTTCAAATTGATATGTTTCACCGGGCCGCAAAGAAATATAGAGCTGAGTATCATCAGCATAACAGTGAAAGCTAACACCATGTTTCCTGATGATATCTCCAAAGGGTAACATGTGAAGCGTGAAAAGTAACGGCCCTAGTACTGAGCCTTGAGGTACTCCATACTGGATATTGTAGTATATGTAGTATACTGGATTTTAATATAAATTTGCCAAGATGTCAGGCACTCTGACTCCCAGTAAACATTGGACTATGGTGGCTGGTGTCTCTATTTTCAGGTTCCGTACAATGGAATCGGCAATAAATAGAGCACTTTGCTCAGGTTTCTCAGTGGGTGCGTCACTGAGTGAGGAGAACCTGTTTAATGTTTTGATCAGAGCGGAAGAGCGGTGTTTTGATCCGCGACTATGCCACCTCACAGTTCGCCCTGCTGTGGAGGCTCTGTAATCAGAACCGAACAATGTACAGGACTCCCTGAACTAGTCGCATCCAAAGCCGTATCTAGAGTCCTCACATTCTTACTATCCTCAATTAAAGTTTGGATGCGTGTCTCTAATTCTGAAACCTTCTCTGTCAGCCTAACTATTTCCCTGCATTTATCACATGTGAATCCCTCATCGCCGACAGAGAGAGCTAAACTATACACGTGGCAAGCGGTGCAAACAACAGTAGCAGGAGAAGTCATTACTCACCGTGATTGATGAATGATTCTGACTTACCACTGTTGTTTGATGAACTCGTAAAGAAACAGAGCGAGAGCAAAAAAAATGAAAACGGCAATAGACGCGCGAATGGAAATGCGACAAGCTAACCAACTAAGGAATGCTAACACGCTGCACGCACGCTGCACTTGCGGTTTTAGAATAAAAGCAAACAATCAAATTAATCAGATTAGTTTGATATATAATATCAGTATATAATATTAGAAATAAGGTGGGAATTAAGTTATATTTTATCACTTTAAACATCCGAGAGTGATAGTAAGATAGAGATTCAACAGAAAAGCAGAGCTACAATCACAAACCACTCTGCAGCACGACAGACAGGAAACGTTATGTTATTATGTATGGTAGTTGGACAGAAAAAGGATTGTTCTTGCCCTATGTGTAATAACATAGCAAGCCACATAGCATAACATAAGTGATATAAGCCTATTTTAGCAAGATGAGTGATGGCTGCATAGATACCATTTATTTTTTGCACATTTCCCATCTTTTCTTGTTTTGTTTTTTTTAGGTGAAAAATAAAGTGAAAATGATATGAAAAATTGTGAATTGCTCCATTAAATATAGATCCACACATGCTGCTTCATAGTTCTTCTGCATTATAACCAATCACACGATTCTGTTGAGCTTATGAATGCAAAGGGCAATCAGAAGCGTTGGGCTGCTTCTTTTTTTTTAGTTAAATTGCATGAAAAATATATTCCAGAGTTGCGTTTTTTTTGGTGCTTATTTTAAAAAATAATATTGCTTTTTGGGAAAAAAAAACAAGCTTGTTGGAAAAAAAACAAAAAAACAAGCTTGTTGAAAAAAAACCGTTGCTGACAAGCAACTTCATTTCTCTACATTTATGTTCGCCTTATTCTCCAATGCATTGATTGACACTCTGTCTGCTCAAAGTGGCCAATCAGTGCAATAATAGGTTTGTTCGATCATGCGCTGCGCAGACCGATCAGTGTATGACATCCAAGTATATGGGAAGCCAAACACACTGAAAGTGGGACGAAACAGCGTGGTATTAAAAAGTAGCGCTGTGCTGACCTTTCAAAGGCACGGCTCAATGGACAGAGCTGTCGACAGTCTCGACGGGAGTACATGTTTGCTAGCGCCACCGAATGGACAGCACGTTGCTGATCAATTAAGACCGCGCAGCACAAACGTTAGGCTACTTTAATTTCATGTGTTTTTCCCTGCACATAACATAATGAAGATCAGTATTAAGTTATTACATTTATTTTGCTTATTATCTTTCATATTACTACAGGTAAATAGTGTTTGCTAGAAGAAGTGCAGTTTTTAGAGATAGTTCCTTCATAGCAATGGATGCTTAAGGCTCGAATGGTGGCTGCGAAAGAGCTCTTAACACCACCTCTAGGTCCCAGGGTGGAACTGAAGGTGGATGCGGGGGGTGCAGTCTCCTCGCCCCCCTAAAAAAATCTCACCACCAGCACATGCCTACCGATCAATTGCCCACCCAGCGGGGAACGAAACAAGGCGGCTACATAGACTTTCAGTGTTGATGGTGAACATTCACTACTCAGCCTATACTGTAGAAAATGCAGAACATTTTAAAAACAACAATAAAAGAAAAACAATTACAAAAGATACGGTTCAAAATACAACTCAATACATAACAAAAATGGGATACACCGTTGGCTACTGGTCCAACAAACACCCTTTCTCCCCCCTTCCAAACATTTCTCTGTTCTTTTATAGTTTTAATCTCCTCCTTCATTTTAAAACTGACCAATCGTAACCCCTCATCAGTTACTAGCTGTACATTCTACATGTACATTCTCTTGATAATCATCACCTCTAACGAGTTGTATTATTACCTTGAAAAGCATCAAACATATAAACGTTCATAAAATGTAGGCCTAAACATTCTTAATGGAACAACTCCTCCCCTTCAGGATGACATATAGTTGGGTTCCTGTTTGCGGGCACCTCCTACTAGGCAGCTCCAGGAACCGGTAAGACAAAGAGATATGAATATTAACATACAAACATTGTTTGCTCAACTTATAACAGTCACCATGGAATGTGCACCTTTCATGTGACTGCCACTTAAGTAGAACTAACAAAAATAAAAGTCTTACAAAACAGTTTGGTCTTTTTTTTTTGTTGTTGTTGAAACATGAGTGCTACATCACATTTTTCTCCCCTTCACCCCCTCTGGATGGTCTGAGTTAGCCAAATGGGATAAATAATCAGCAATTAAATTCTTCTTACCTGGACAGTGCTCAATTGTAAACACATATGGCTGCAGAGTCAGACACCAGCGCAGTATCCTTGAATTACTGTTCTGCATTGTTTGCATCCGTTTCAGTGCACGATGATCAGTTTGTAAAGTGAATTTGCATCCAAGCAGGTAGTAGCACAGGGAGTCCACAGCCCACTTAAGGG